CGTCTCTCATCTTCTGCTCTTTCACATTCGACAACACGTGCGGCTGCTACAACTCTCGTCGTCTAACACGCATAAATACTGCACACTCCTCTCTCATCGTTCACGTGGCTTCTCTCTGCTGGCATCGCTCTGCGGCGCGCACAAGGAGGTCGACAAAGGTCTGAGCTGATGTAGTGGTCAACTGTGCAATATCCTGATTACATGCTACCAAGATCTGTGCTACTGTGAGCTATAAGGGAGCACACACACCATACCAGCATCTAACTCTCGGTACTGCACGAGAGTCCGCGAAACCTCACTTGCACCGGGCGCTTAACAGAAAAGCAACGCCCGGCACAAATAGTGTGAAGCGAACAACCGTCCACAGGAAGCATGAAAGCAGCCGAAAGTCGACATGCCCCGGAAGAGTGAGGAGAGGCTCTCCTTTGTGCCGACCGTCTCTGATGTTGCAAAACAAAGGCGTCTTAAAGTAAGGACAAGATGAGGAGCTGTTGCCAATGGCCAGTTACTGGCTTTAATTGAAAACCGAAGTAGAGGCTTTTTAGATGGAGGATAAGGTTAGAGTTCTGTTAATAGGAATCAAGCGAGTTTAGAGTTTGTTAATGTCAAATCAGGTGGGAGAGTTTGTTTATGTGAATTCATAGTGTGCCGAGTGCAAGGAGAGGTAATGGTAATTGTCATAACGACAGGTCGGAGAGTTTGATTAGATGAACCTAGTCTACGCGAATTATCGTAGAACTCTTACACGTGTGCTTTGCAGAGTGGCTGTGATAAGCCCATTTTCTCAAAGGACGGTCCGTTGTTTTATCTAAACGATAGACTGCAGGCGTGGAGGAGTGGTTTCGTTAATGAATCAGAGTAGGGGAGGTATATTTAATGGAATCAGGTAAGAGTTTGTTAATGAATCAGGTAAGAGTTTGGTGTATTTATGCAATCAGGAGGTTAGAGTTTTAGTTTGTAGGAGGGTGAAATCAGGGTAAGGTTTGTCAAGATGAAGGAGTTATAAAAGCAAACTTTTTTGATTTCCAAAGTGGGAGTGCCTTGGCGATATAGCATTTCTGGCCTTATATATTTTTAGTAGTGCAGTAGGGGTAGTGTGCTCACTGCAAATGAATTGAGTCGAGACATACAAGATTTTCAAACACAGCGTCTGCTCAGGTCAATGTTCCTATTAAAGTGATTTGATCGTTTTTGATAGTCAAACTGAGGTCTCCTACCAGAATCTAGGTGGGTGAGGAGGAATATACGAAGGACCCAGTACTGCTAGCTCACATGATGAGAGTGAGTAGTGGGGCATCGTCACTATATTCATGTAGGATGCCAAATTATACGGATTTCATTGGTAAACTAAAAATTATACAGCGTGGATTCAAAGCTCATCAGGTCAGCTGTTCTTACATGTCTTCTTTTCTCCTCTCTCTTCTCTATGTGTGGTTTTGGGTGTTTTATTAATGTGTCTCTCGGAGCTCGCCCCCACACGGCGCCCCCCCGCCGCCGCGCGCACATTCGCAGCATTTGGACAAGAAGTCTCCTCTCCCTCGCTCCACCGCCAACCCACTCTCCCCCCCCCTCTCTCCTCACCTCTCTCGCCACTCCCTCCGCTCGCTGCTCCCATCACCCAAGGGTAATAGAGATCCAGATTACGACCTTGAGTCTACAGAGTTTACTAACACACTCATTGGTCCTGGCATATGCTTTATCTTGTGGTGATTCCACCAATCAGTACTCTTCACAAGGGTGAGTGGAAAGTATTCTCGCCTTTTCTCTATGTTCTAACAATCATGTGTGTCTCCACTTCGTTTGCGATGAGGTGTGTGAAGATAAAGCACCAACTCTCATATACCTAGGCCTAGGTTATTATACAATAAGTCTCTTTGAGACATGATGCGGGCCCCAGATACGCGCTAGCTCGACGCTTAGCGAGAGTTTATGATTGTTCGGAGCAACAAAGTTTGTTTCTTTCCTAATAATACTATCCACTCAGCACAAAGTCATAGCTGGTATACGAGCTAACTGAGAAGCGACCGGCACTATGGGTATCTTCCACAGCATCACTCCTATACATAAAGTTCTGCTCACTATGAGAGTGGAGTTCCGTGATTGAGAAGACAGAAGTTCGTCTCCTTCTATGCGATCTTACACCGGCATGAGCGCTCCACCCGGTGGTTAGTCGTAGTACCTTATGATACCGTATTGTGTATATGATCAACCATGCATTTGCCTTGCTCGTCCAACTGTATAACACTGATCTCTACGCTGTCTATTCCTTTGTGCCTAAATCCCTCTCTTGTTTCTATATTGAAAGAGGAGTACTCCTTTATTTTGATAACTAGTAAGAAAACAGACCACGTAGGCCAATAGTGCAATGTGCAATCGCACTGAGTGGAAACAACTAACAGGGTAAACTTGCTAAGACGCTCACTAATGACCACGAGTGGAGCCAGAGCAGCTGGCTATCGCTAGACCATAGAACCGCCAGCGTACGAAACTTTTCTGGGGTCTACTCGGAGCCTCTGGCGATACCATTTCGTGACGAGAACTTCTCGTTAGTATAGGCCACAGATGCACTATTGTGAAGCAGGCGATAGCACTCATCCTGCCATGTGCGTGTCGTCTCGTTATCATAAGTGGCAAGCTATTGCAACTTGGCACTTCTAGTTTGGATTATGAGGCGAAAGAATCACAACTATGTTGCTATCGAAATCGCAACCATAAAATAATACTGAATGGAAGATGTCTAGCAACTTAGTGATTTGACTGCGTCTATGCTATTTCTTTACGTATACCTATATCTTGGCTATCTGGTCGTTACTCTACGTTCACCATAACTAATCAGGTGATCCACGTTTATTGAGGTGAGGCGATGATATCATTTGGGAAAGTCTAGTACGTAGAGAGGCGTAGTGTGGGAGAACTTAGCAGGAGGAGTTCTAACAAAGAGGGTAGGACTACATTTTGTAGTGTGCTTATCTTAGAGTGTACACCGTGTGACTTTGACCCTAATCACTAGAAAAGGTTGAAACTCTTCAAGATAACCGATACACATATATTGTATGTCAGGCCTAGTTGTTCGTCTCGCGCACAATAATAAAGTGTTCCTCTTTTCAGTTGTACTGTGAGATGTCCTTTTTCGCGCAGAAGAAGCAAAGAAAGAACACATGCGATTCATGCATGCACGAGGGATCTCAGCATGTACCCGTGGTACTCTCCTCTACGGCGGTGCTACTCGTTATCCGTCGTGTCTCCTTCATCTCCTATGCATTGGGGTTCCTTTCTCCTGAACTGATGACACCCCACACAGTGTCTCTACACACTCAGGCTCACAAGTCCGGCACCGCACCATCTCCTCTCCACTCAACTGAGTCGAAACCTCCGGGACCGAGAAATCACCTCGTGTCGTAGCTTTCTCAGTGTGGCTTGATGATACATGTGATGACAATGTCCCATCAGATCTCTTCTGTTAACTGCGTATACACACAAGAATTCCGCGCTACGAGCAGCACGGGACACCTTTCCTCAGCCACGTATTCCTTGCGCAATGTTCGATGACGCCAATAAAGTACCACAACGAGAGTTTGGTGACACAAGTGTGCACACGATTTAAAACGAGCGTACCAATGGCGGGTTTCGCCAAAAACCTTGCCCTTGTCCTGATGCTCAGCATCTCGTTAACGTAGCCTACCTCCGCTGTGGTTGTTTAACAGAGTCTGTATTGTATGCAGTCCTGTCGGTTTGTCTTGCTAAGCTTTTTATTTTGTCGTGCTATTTAGTCGTCTGACCAGGTCTCACAAACAAACAACGATTGAATGTATGGTGCATCTCACGGGGAGAGGTTTGGTAGCTTTGTACGGCCTCTCAGTTGAATGGGAGTTTGCTCTTGCTATCTCGTCATGCCAACCAAATGTATTTGAGCATATTTTGAGTGGAGTGGGTGAGAGGAAAGAGTTGGAGGAAGAGAGTAAAGGGATTAGGAAGACAGGAGGAAGTGAAAGATCATGTGTGCAACTATCAAAATAGCTTAAGACTGACATAAAAAGCGAAGGAGACCCAGGATATGAGCGTAGATAAAGATACAATCGTCAACAAGATAAATGACTTTGCAGACAATACTGCCAGACGATGCTGCACACAAACATAAATAAGTAGCAGTATTTAAACAGTTGTACCTCCTGCAGCAATGAGCAGGTGCACCAGAGAGTGTCGTCCACTGAAAATGTCTCCCTGTTTCTCATTCTCACACTGCAACGCCTGGAACTGAGGGGGGAGTGGGAGTTGTTGAAGATATTAACTCAGTGTGATGTAGTGCTTGCAAACTCAGCTCCCTCGAGTGAGAGTAAAATCCTCGGTGTGAGACTCTTGAGCTGTGAGTTGTCAATAGTTGGTGCTTCCCTTCGTCACAGGAAAAAGGTACTCTTTTCTAATTATACACCTCCACCTTCTCGAGTGTGCACCGACCTGTCTTACTATACTGTACTGCTGCCTATCGGAGTAGCATAGCCAATGCACAAAAGCTCATAAAAACCTGTAACTTAGTCCATCGCCGACCCTCCATGCCCGAGAGTCTTCAATATTACTATCGTTAACTCTTACGGTTCATTCGGGCGCAGTTTAACAACTTCTTTCATCGTGCGAATGTTCTTGTTAAGCTGCTCTGCTTTATTAGCACAGGATGATGATCGACCACTGACTCCGTTTTCTGCGAAGCGGGCATGTGGACATGTGCCGTCTGCCTTCCCGATTTCGTTGCGTGCGTATCCGCTCGCCTTCCCTCTCCACATGTACTCATCCCAACCCAATCTTTATAGCCTGGACTTGCGTCTCGCTCCCGGCTATCCCGCCTCAACTAGTCTCAGTATCATCTAAAGGTCACACGTCATCAAAACATGGCAGGCAGTTCTTCCAATCTCTTCCAGATGATAGAGACGAGTACACCATCCAACGTGTCGCTCGGTCTAGAAACTTTTTTAAATTGATGCGCAAATAACTCTTTCTAAATAATGCCCACCACCCACCCGGTTTGCGGTTGAAAGGTCTTCCTAGAGCGAGAACTCAGTTCTCGTTGTTCGCTACACACATGATGGCTGGGCTCTTGCCTCAGCACGTGCAGGACGTGTCCTCACAGAACTATTCAGAGCCCAAACCGTCTCTTAGACTCAGTGTCAAAGTAACCAAATGGATGAAGTAAGTGTTAGTCGGCTCTGTGTTCCATAGCGGCGAACCTCCGTGGCTTTGTACGCTTTTATTGTGTAAGAAACTATTCTACCCTTGCCCCCGGCTTCTAGGACTATTTTTTCAGAGAAGGCAACTCGCAACCTTTTCCTCTTCCTCATCCTGAACCTCTCCTTTGCCTTTGTGGAGCTGCTGTGGGGGATGTGGACCAACAGCCTCGGGCTCATATCTGACTCCTTCCACATGTTCTTTGACTGTACCGCTCTCCTGGCTGGTCTCATTGCTACCGTCGTGGCGAGATGGGCCGCCAACGAGAAGTTCTCCTACGGGTGAGTAGTATTGGACATCACGTGGAAAGACAGTAATTTTCAATTCATCCTCTTACATTGGTCGTTGCTGAATCCTAGCCTCATCCCCAGGCCTTCCCTGCTATCTGTCGCTGTGATGTGACGTAATCATTGTGCCCTGCATGTCTATCAAACACACTGCTAAATGTGAAACAGGAAAACCAGAACAAAGCTAGCTTTACACAGTTAGTCTGGAGGCGATATTGAAAGTTTTATAGTATATTTCCAACCATTAACTCCTCTTGTTCAAACGTCTAGGTACGTCCGTGCTGAGGTGGTGGCTGGATTTGTAAACACTCTATTTCTCCTGTTTGTGGCCTTTTTCATCTTCGCTGAAGCTATCGAGGCAAGAGGCCATATATATAATACATACACATATACACAACACACTTTCTTGTAAGGACTTGGCACTTATGCTGTTAGGTCTGTGTTAGTCTAAACTATCAGTCGTAAGTGAGAGACTATCTTCTTGTATGGAGTGTCTGTTTTGTGCGTTAGGACCATATATTATGTCTGTTGCAGCGTTCCTTTGAGCCCCCGACTGTCAATCACGATCGGCTGATGCTCATCTCCGTCGCTGGATTTGTGGTAAATCTCATCGGTCTCTTTGCCTTCCAGCACGGCGGAGCAGGTAAATATATACAACCTAGTCGAGCTTCAGGCTTCGTGTGTATGCGCTGTGCACAGAGTTTCAGCATTAAAGCACTGTGAATGTAAATCCTTCATTAGGTAAGTTTAATTTTCCCTTCCTCCCTCCGTCTCTATCTATCGTTAGGTCATGGGCATTCTCACGGAGGAGGAGGAGGCCACGCCCACTCCAACGACCTTCACAACTCTCACTCCCATTCCCATTCTCACTCTCACTCCCATCCTCATTCTGCAGGGGAAGGTGGCTCCAAAATCATGCAAGGTACACATACACACATGGTCCTCCCTAGCTGTGTGTTTCAATCATGCCTCAAGGTTCCTATGTTGTGTTGTTATGCAAAGGTCAATTGCTGCATACAGTGTTATGTCTTCACTATTATACCATAATAATATTGCCTTGAGAGGTGGTAAAAAGGGTTTAAGTATTAGTTTATCTTCTGTGCTTTCTGTACGTGGCTAAACTCTCTCATGACTTCATTTCCTGTTGATTTTGAGTGATCTCAAGTTTGTGTTTCCGTCAGGTATATTCCTGCACATTCTGGCAGACACACTGGGCAGTGTTGGAGTCATCATTTCCTCTGCCCTCATTGATCAGTTCGGTAGGAACAGAACTATTTTAGCTGCATAGATCGCGAAACTTTACTGAATCACTTCTCTCCCACCAGGCTGGATGATTGCTGACCCAATTTGCTCCATGTTCATTGCAGTTCTGATCATTGTGAGGTACATACATACATACTACCCCTGCGGCGTAACAGTGTTAAGAAAACCTCAAATAGTTTCACACTTTTTGGTGTCCATCAGTAATGTTAACGTCTTCTGTACAGAGCTCACTAGAGTAATGGTTGTCCTCTTTCACGTGGTTTCTCCATCCTTCAACCACTTAGTACACTTGTTCCAGCATCACAGGTTTTGGCAGTGGACAAAAAACCATCATTACAACAGCATAATACAGACGCTGAGCACTGGAATGCACAAGCACATGTGCTACTGCACGTGAACAGTTTATATATTTAATGTTCCAACGATTTCTTTTCCTACCTTGGTTTACACTATTGTATTATGTTGTCTTGCAGTATAATTCCCCTGATGAAAGACTCACTGGGTGTTCTGATGCAGAGAAGTCCATCCTCATTGGACTACACTCTTCCCACCAGCCTACAGAGGGTATTACATTAGACTGGGTTCACAATACGTCGCAATGCCCTGTTTCACCATGCCGCAAAGATAGAAATAGATTCAATGCGGCAAAGTGGCAGGGCGTGACGGGACAATGCGACATATTGAGCCTTAGACATGCCAAACTGAAACAGGGTGGTAACTACTCAACATGATGCAACAAAACTCGCCATTACTTGTATCAACCCTACTGGGTTTATATACAGGTGTACGAGCTGGAAGGTGTAGTTCAAATGCACGACGCTCATTTCTGGACCCTGTGTACCGGGACCTACTATGGGACTCTGACTCTGGATGTGATGGCTGGGACAGACACTCGGAGAACACTGGCTGCTGCCAGGAACATTCTTATACAGGTGGGCGGGGCTTATATCAACACAATAATACAGAAAAGTTTAAGTTTTATTTCCGTTTCGCAGGCCGGACTGACACATGTGACCATAGAACTCAACCAAATGGACTGATTAATTATCATCACTCATTCATAATTTATGATTTCTTAGTTGATTAGTGGTAACCTCGCAGTAATGGGGGCTGGGTTTACACTACAGTCAAATGTTCAATCTCAGTTGGCAGCTATATTATAGTCATGTTGCTGCAGTGGCAGAGGAAATGGCCAGGTCCTGTCTCGCCACCGACTCGTAGGCTGGGTTGCAGGCAGTGGGGATGACTGTCGTCTCATACGCCACATTCTCTGCAGTGACTGGATCATCGGTAGTGGCACTGGGATATGCAGTAAAACTTCCGATAAAGACACTCCAAAAAAACATCTCTATAAAGGACACACTTTGAGGTCCCAAATGTAATTTAATTTTAACCTGACAACCTCCACTTTAAAGGACAAAATGCCTGGTCCCAATGTGTCCTTTATTCGGAGGTTCGACTGTAGGTATAAAGTCACCCAACTTGACCGTCCACGAGTCGTGAGCTATTGTCTGACCTGGGAATATCCTCGTAGACTGGGTTATGTGTAGCAAACTTGACTGTTGCAGCATATGCCACATTCTCTGTCGTGGTGCAGGGATCACCTCCCAGATCAGACTTCACCACCACACTGAAGGACATACACATTGTGAATGAACAAAACTCCCTATCATAGCCCCATACATCTATGATGCTAGGTGCCATGCCCATCCCTATATACTAAGTACTATAAACCGTACTTAGTGATAGGAGCAAGACTGTAAGTAGTATATAAGTGGCCCACCTCTTGTGCTTGTGCTTTACAACAATCACAACAAGAATGATGATAAAGAGTGCCATGATAACCGCTCCAAAAGCTCCACCAACACCAGCAAATGCAACAACAATAGTATTCACTGCTGACGACTCGATTGTGTCATCAATAAGAGGTGTAGGAGTGACAACTGAAGATGTCTTGGTGCTGGAAATAGTTGGACCATTAGTGCCGTAAAGTGTAGAAGTGCTGATTAGTGACACATCTGAGGTTGACTTTTCAGTAGGTGTAGTAGATGATTGGTAGTGTATCAGAGTGAGAGCTGAAGGAACTGAGGAGTACTTTTGCTGTGTGCAAAAATGTTACGTACCTTTACATGTGGTGCCCTCTTGATCTTCAGTATATCCAGAGTTACGCTCACATCGTGCATCACCATTGACCCATACTCCATCAGATATACATAATATCGTTGAATTGTTATTAATAAGGTGAGAATTCTCTGCACAGTATGGAGTGACAAGCACAAAACGGCTGACAGAGGACTGAGTGGCAGGTCGACGGAGAAGGTTTCTTGTAGGTAGTCTGTCATGACCAGGACATTCATAACGATAGACCAACACTCTGGACACTGTCACACAGGTTCCAACACTTCTTAGTGCTAAGTAAATTCCAGGCAAAGTATGTGGCCCTAACAACAGACCACTTTAACTTATGGGTGTCTAGCTATGTGGTGCCTATTGTGTAGTATTAGCTGTTGTGGTGACAAAGGGTGGAGGCTTAGTGTACATAAGACAGGTGTTTGTGTGGGAAAGGCTCTACTACTGTATATACACTTGCAATGGTACACACTTGCACTTTCCTTAAAGGAAAGATGATAAACAAGACAGAGTGAAGTAAGATAAACAAGACAGAGTGAAGTAAGATAAACAAGACAGAGTGAAGTAAGACAAACAAGACAGAGTGAAGTAAGATAAACAAGACAGAGTGAAGTAAGATAAAAAAAGACAGAGTGAAGTAAGAAAAACAAGACAAAGTGAGGCACACTCCTTACCTCTCAGACACTCCATTACTGCGGATATTGTGTCGGGTAGTGTTATACAGAGGGTTTGGGAAATTGCGACTGTAGGAAAGAAAGAAGAAAGAGAAAGTGTCAAGTAGGATTATTACTTCCTGGGCAATCAGAAAATTACAGTGTCTCGGCATCCTGTTTGTGGCCACTTGTTCCATTCCCGTTACTACAAAGATGACACAATCAGTGAGTAAGCAAGATGAGGGAGTGCCCACGTGGGCTGACCTAGCAGGTAACTTGACTGGTATGTTTTGAGACACTGCATCGTAGACGGGGTTAGTCAGTTGCTTCCCATCACTGGAGAAATGGCTGCATGGCAATCCACCAGTCACAAGTGAACAAACTGAAAGTTACTACAACTGCTTACTTACTTCTCATTTTGTTTCGATTTCCTGTGATTTCTCACTATTACCAGAACTAGCACTACCACTAGTGCTAGAGCTAGAATGACTACAATCAGAGCACCAACACCAGCCAGAATGGGAATAGGCAGTCCACTACCACTGTCCCTGGCTCTTGCATCAACAGTACGTTCCTCTGTGGTTCCAGCAGTAGGAAGTGAAGGGGTGGTGGATGAAGTGACATACACCACACTGCTGACAGGAGCTGGAGTGGCAGGTCGACGGAGAAGGCCTGTAGTAGGTAGTCTGTCCTGACCAGGACATTCATAATGATAGACCAACACTCTGGACACATTCACACAGGCTCCAACACTTTTTAGTGCTAAGAAAATTCCAGTAACTGATGTTTCAGAGTCAAAGAAGAACTGTTTGGTAGCTACCACTGGAAACACTACTGGTGTTTTGTATACGGTTGTCTGGCATTATACCACCTTCACCATATGAATAGCTTGTGTCATGGGAAGAGAAGTTTGCAAGTAGCAACTCAAAATTATCGTCACATTTCGGTCTGGGACAGTCCATGAAGGAATATGTAATGTTCACAAATATTCTGACTGGGTATGTATTAGGAGATGGGAGAGTCTTGTTGATGAACTGAGTTTGTAGCCATTTCCCCTTATTACCTCCAGAACACACTGAAACTGAACTACCATTACAAGTTCCTTGAGAAGACCACTGTAGGTATAAATGAATAGTGTCAGTGTAGCATTATTAGTAGTCTTTGAGCTAGCTACCGTTTTTGGCTTTAGGGGTCATTTGTGTCTCCGCTCAGTAGTAGTTGCATTCCAGACTCCGTTCCCATCACCCTCTGCTATCAGTGTGTGGTATCTCCAGCTATCCATCAGAACTTTGACATTGTCTGGATACTCTGGAACTGGACATCTCACATCCTCATCTCCTGGAGCTACTGCCACTGACTGTCCCAGAAGTAGTAGTAGGAGCAGTAGAACACCACAAACCTGCCCACACAGCTCCTGACCATTCATAGCTAACTTGTGCCTCAACCTAGTATAACAGACACTAACATACCATCATGCTCCCTCTAGCTCTCTCTATATGAGGGTGGGACAAATTAGTCCTGTGGCTTCTGGTACGTTATCTCAGCATCCGTTTCGAATAGGAATTTCACTATAATTCTGTGGACAAACTACTGCAGCTATATATGTACATACTCTAGTTTGTTTATCTCAGCATCTACTCACAGTTCCTTCTAGTACGCAATGCAGGTACAAATTAATTTTCACTTATTCTGTGGACATGCAAAGATCATGTGGACTGCAGCTAGTTATGTACACAATGTCTCCAGTCCATTCTGGTTCACATCTTCAGCATTAGACTCCCTCTTCTGTTTCCTTGTGTGGAACGGAGTCATTGCTATCCTGAATCTCAGGCACATTATCAGCTCCTGATTGGTGGGTGGGGCTGTGGGTGTGGTCAGAAATCACTTCATACAGTGGTGGCTGAATACTAGACTCCACAGCAGCTGACAGTTTGTTTCCTCTAACATAGAACAGAGGAGCTTTATTATCACACAGATATTAATAAGTTTTTTAACTACACACACATACAGTTTGAAATGCAAGCTCTAGCAGTGAAATAGAAACCTTTTGCTTGTTGTGGTTGACTGACGTGATAGAGCTGTACCGCCAGCATAGACAGGATCATCAAATATAGCACTGTGAGTGTAAGGAGAGGACTCTTGTAAAATTACACCCCGCTTTAATGATAACAGTGAATTACACCCTGCTTTAATGATAATTGGCGAGCAAGAAGCAACTTTTTGCTCGTCAAAAATGTGTTGCATTTGTTTCAGTTTGTACCTGAAAGGAAGGGCAGATTTGTGTGCACCTGCTCTCTCGTATATGGGGTCACTGGGTGGGATTACTGGAGGTGGCCTCCTGAACACAATGTGCCTCGCTCCTTCGTAGACTGGGTTATCCACTTCTCGGCTGCAATAATGGTCGACAGACAAGAACATTACCAAAGCCAGCTACATAATCCACCATTACACATTTCTAGTTTGTAGTTGCATGCCATTATATCTACTAAGATATTTTGTCTTACTTGTAGTTTTTCTGTTCCTGAGTGTCGTATGTGATGTATTTCTTTCGTCTCCAGTAGAGAAATATACCAACGGCCACCGCTATAACCACCAGTGCAATAATGACGAGGAGAGACACTACAACCCCTGCAATTATCCGGTTCGTCCGGGAAGAGCTCCTTGATTTGTTGGCTTCAATAGAAGGTGAAACCGAATATGTCCCTGTTTCAAGAGTGGAATCTGTTTGTGTTGTTGTTGTTGTTCTTGGTGTTGTTGATGTTGTTGTCATTGTTGTTATTGTTGATGTTGGAGTAGGAGAAGTGTGAGGAACTGAGGTAGTTTGAGATACTGTTGTGCCACACTGGACCAGCAGATGGTAGCAGAGTGTGTCGGAATGAGAATATCTTGTGCATTGAGTTAGGTGAGTTTCAAATCCCATGCAGTCGTATGCCAAAAACGATCGGCTAGAACCCCCTGGAACTTGATTTGCGTTGAGATCTAAGAGAAAAGTTTTTTATCAAGATGCTTTGTTCTTAAAATTGTACGCTACTTACTTAGTCCATGAGCAGCCTCTCTGCAGATGACAGTTGAGTCTTGTTGAGTCCATTCATTGTCACAGAGTGGAGACCACACCCCCTCACTATTGCACATCTCCACCAGCTGAAGACTGTTATTTTCAGCATCATTCACCACTGTCACACTGCCTTCACTGCATGCACTCTCACCTAACAGACGGCAAAAGACCCAGAAGTTAGTAATTAGTAATACAAGATCAGCTCTTGGTGTATATACTGTACTTACCATCACTAGATTCAATGTTGACTGTTACTTGAGCAAGAACGATGCTTCCATTAGTCACTTGTACTACGAAACTCTCTTCCTTTTCCTTCAAATCATCGTCCACAATAGTGACATCAACACACCCAACGACCGGAGAAGAGCTAGTTGTAAACTGCGACCGACGAATGCTCGTACTAACTGGCACATAATCAAAATTCCCTGCAGAAGCAAGAACATAAAAACTTTGTCTTAAGAGTCATACATAACGTACCTGTTTGACAAATTGATGTTACAGTATAACCATGAAATGAGGAACTTACCGATGGCAGTATTGTCATTGGAGAGACTTGGAGTTCAAGTGAGAGGGGAAGCCCGGGAGCCAACTCCAAACACACTTGGGTGTCTCTTTGTCCTTCTCTGACCGCATACGGGTTCTGAACTGGCGTTAGGTAGGCTGGAGAATGAGATAAGGTTTTCGCTGCAATTCACGTCTCAATACACTTGTCAGGGTTTTGTTGACGAGGCCAGATGTGGGCACCTCACACAGAGATGCAAACAGCTTTCCATTTGCATAAGGAGCCAAGGATAAACACTCTCAAATGAAAATTTAGCACATTATATAAGCTTAGAAGCTTTAATGTAAAAGGAGCAAGATTAGACTTACCTCTGCAGTTGTTTCCATCTTGGTAGTAGCCTTGGTCGCACTCACAGTTTATCTCGTCACTTAACCAAAATCCGAGAAGCTACATCTCAGAGAGTCGGGTACACTCTGGTCAGTGAGGTGGGCGTTTGCTGCACAGCTCCCCATAGCTGTCGTACTAATACTGAGGGGAATAGGAGTGGAGGGGTAGCGTACCAGGCCTCTTTCAGTATACGGACACGTGTTGATGTAAACCAAGAGTCTGGAGATTGTCACACACATTCGTTCGTCGGCCTCGATAGACAGATAGAATCCTTGCTCTGTGTCCTCTAGATCAAAGTACAGGGTGGTCGTGGTGTTGTAGTTTGTGATTCCATCCCTGGGGATTTCACTGTCGGGTTCAATTCCGTTGTGCTCGTAGTTTTGCTCGTCAGATCTCTTCCTCGAATTCTGTGTGTTAGTGACGTACTTGAGCAGCTCGAAGGTCCTGCAGTTGTTGTCGCACTGAGTCAGAGTGTAAGATATCCCAACATGGACTCTGACTGGGTAGTCGACTGAGGATGGCTTGCTGATGTACTGGGTGAACACCCAGCTAGTAGGTCTCATTGCACCACCTGAGAGGCACACCTCTACTCCTCCCTGCTCACACGTCCCTCCAACTCCATACCACTGCACATACGCACATGGAAAATACGCTGGAACAAAACAAATCATAGTGTTCTCAAACACATAAAACAAGGAATACTCTCTGGAAAATTTCAACCAGTGGTCTATGACATAGAGTATAAGGACTGGGTATGGTATATATGTAAGTACCAGTTGCAAGTGCAACCACTCATGCAACCATGCAACTGAGCTCCATCAGCTTGCAAAATACGCTTGTTTTCTTACAAGGTCTGAGCTGCCCGGCCCTCTTTCACTGGTTTCGGTTTCCCATACTGATGACGACTCCGCGAGGAGACTCTGATATCTCCAACTGTCCATCAGAACTTCGATGCCCGCAGAATATTCCGGGACCCCGCATGCTCCGTCCTCGTCTCCCGGCGCGGCAGCCCCGGCCCAGCGCAGCGTCTGGTAAAATAGCGAAAAGAACCACCAAGCACGAGCAACTGTCATCATGCTAACTGCTTCAGCTCACAAGTGAAGAGAAATGAAAATCGGGTTTCGCGAAGTGCGCGCGAGAGCCACGGACGCATGCGCAATGGTGCGTATGCCACCTGGGCATGCGCAGTGGGTAAGGTGCGAGCTGACGACGTTCATACACTGGTATATAGCTATGCAACTTTAGATTGTCATTGGTCTGTTTGGAGCATTTGAATAATGCTCTTCGGTTGAGTTTTCCAGCACATGGTATATGTTGATGTTGTTCCGCGTCTCATCTGGTGCAGTGATTGGGGCGGGAGGAGGAAGGAGTTCCAGTGTGGCATATTCGTGGTTCTGGGGGGAGGCGGGGTCAAATATGGCGCTGTAGGTGTGGTCTAGTGTGCCATCAGGTGACCTGGTGTGGTGGTTGATGTATAGAGAGTGCTCCACAAAGCTATGGCTGCAGAAAAAAGAAAAAAAACGTGATACAACGATGCAACAAGTTGAGCGAGTATATAAAGAAGTCGCGTGCAACTGCAATATAATAATGAGTGTGGTAACTCATGCTATATGCTTCATACATTAAAAATGCCAAACATATGAAGTTGTGTGGGACTTTAATCTCACACAACAATGTAATACCTACACTTGGTTTGGGGTGATGTGAAGACTGTGTGGCTCCAAATTGCGTCCAGTCTGTCGAACTACTTTCCCTTTCCTCTTCTTTTGGTACCAGAGACAAAAGATGACGTTGCCAGACACCAGGACCAGCAAAACCATCAGCGACAGTGTTGCCACTGACATTCCCAACAGCGCTCCCAAACCAACCCCAACATATCCAGTATCATTAACTCCCTTGTCACTGTCATCATCTCCTGATGTTTTATCTTTCGGGCCACTTATATCGTTTTCTGTTTCATCACCAGTTGTTTTCACAGTTTTATTCGTTTCTGTCTCTTCGAGGAGTGATGGGAACGAACAGTCAACAAATACGGGATAGCATACTCCGTCATCACGAGGCTTTTTCAAACACTCCACGAGCCTTGCTTCAGCTCCACTGCACTCTGGAACTAAGGAAACGCCTTTTATACCTGTAGCCCCTGTTATCAGTGTTACTATGTTTTTTCCTGCAAAGGGTATTAATGTGATTGCAGTATAATGATGGAGGATGATGGTTCAGTTACCAACAGATGGGTATCCCAGTTCCCTGCAGACAACAGTTGCATCTGTTAGGGTCCATTCATTGTCACAGAGTGAAGACCACACCCCCTCACTATTGCACATCTCCACCAACTGAAGACTGCTACTGTCAGCATCTCTCGCCACTGTCACACTGCCTTCTGTGCATGCATTAGCTCCTATGGAAAACAAAACATGAAGCATAGCTACATAGCTACGTACATTAGAGAATTACAACACATCGTGAAGTGTGTCAAAAATACTATAGCTGGTTTGCTGGAAGCTTTATTCCTTGTGTTCTGGAACTCTTTACAACACACGCTTTGTTCGCTGAGCCACTCACCATCACTTGGCTGGATCTTCAGTCTTAATTGATCGTCAGGTGCATTCCCAGCATTCCAAAGGGTGGACACTTGGACAGTGAACCATTCTTCCGCCTCAGCCAAGTTATCGTCCAGCAATTTGATCAGTACACAGTGCAATGGGGCAAGAGACGCTACAAAGTCCAGCTGGCGGCCAACTCTTACATAATCAAAGTCGGCTGCAGAAACATGCCAGGAAACACACACATCAACATTATCATGTCATTTACCCTCATTAAAACTGTAATATACAACATACCTAGAGCATTGCCATTAATAGTCTGTAGGAAGACGGTGACGTTGTATAGCGGTGTTTCACTAATGTGGACGCAGACTTGAAAGAAATCATCTTCTGCCGCCTTCTCCTTATCGGCACTCAAGTATACCTTTGGTGCTGTGGGTATATTAATATAGATGAATAAGTAATTTGCTCACTTTGACAGAGCGGCTATTGTTGTACATGGAAGTGCTTACAGGTGCTGTGGCAAGCTGATAGGGTCCCAATGCTGGTACAGGTGGAGGTGCTGTAGCTGATGGCTGGCTCTATGACACAATCTTGCAGTCGGTTCTCATGTCCACTGCAGTCGATTCTTTTTACCAATGAAGGGACAGCTCCAGTAGGAATATAACCTGCAAACAGCAAACACAAATTTTTCTTACACCAGTAGCTATACGTATGATGTATATAGTGTAGAATTATTGCGCACCGCTGACTCCGTGAGAATATCCTAGCTCCCTGCAGAGGACGGTAGCCTCCTCGTCTCCCCAGCCGCTGCCCTGACAGAAGTAGGTCCACGTCCCGCAGTCTAACTGGTACTGTACCTCTTGCTGATGCTCCCAGTGAACGTGAACGAGCCCGTACTGCGGAGAGCACACTGCCGCAACAGGACGGTCGAGTCCCAGCAAGAAGACTATATTAGCTACACGATAGCTAACAGTTGTGAGCTTACCTTTAACCATTGGGACGTTGGATAGGGTAAATAAAAGCCACAGCATCGAAGGTTGCCAGTAGTTCATATCTGCAGCAGGCGATATCGACCAATGCGCCATGCCAGAGAGCTAGAGAGTGTTATGCAGTACTGCGCATGCGTATATCCACGGTGCAAGAACATCATGGTATAAACGGAGAATGACAATAAAATTCCTCTAGCTGTTGGTGAAACCGGTTTCAACGTACTCATAGTCAGCGTTGACTGGTCTAGGAGGAGCAGAGCTGCCTCCTGGTCCACCCGCCTCCACGGGCGCGTAGAGAGGGTTGGTGAAGTTATGTTCTGGAGTCTCTGACCTCTCCTCTTGTGACTGGAAGGCTGATGGCTGATATGTCGGATTTGTTAGAGACAATCGCTTGTTCTCTTCAGTCTCTGTTGCTACTTCTAGTGATAATTGTGGGGGCTCTGATTGGTTACCAGCAAATCTTCTAGTCTTTATCCTGAGCCAGAGAATGAGTGAGATGAACATGAGCATCAGAGCGGCTGTTAGTAACACGACCACCACTGCAGTTACAATGACACCCACCACTAGTCTGTCAGAGTTTGGCGGCTGTGAGCTGGTGATAGAGGGGCGAGCTGTAGTACTGACAGGAGTTTTAATTATGATAGGGGCTTTTGTAGAACGAGCTATTGAACTAGCACGGTCACCGGTATTGGAAGTAGTTCTGAGAGAAGTTGTAGTAGGAATAGGTGTAGGTTGAACCCCTGAGCTAGCAACACGAAAGCCGAAAGAAATAGTGCGTACTGAACTGGTATGATGCAATGTTGAAACTGCAATCTTCTCGGTTGTAACCGCAATCTTGGTAGTAATGGTGTTAGTAACACTTGCAGATTCTGCTGGCTCTTGCGTTGAGCTAGGAATTCTCGAGCTTGTCACTGTGTGAAAAAAACTTTCACTGGTGATATTATATCTCCGAGCAGTAAATTGGAATGCACTTAGGTCACGGTCACATGCTAGCTACCACACTCAGGATACGTAGGTGGTACTTACTATGGGCTTCAATCGATGAATCTGATGCTGTCGCAATTGCACAACATACCAATAGAATAGTTGTACTTACTGTCATTTGGTCTGATGTACACATCAATGAGTGTGTTGAGGAGCACCACAGCCGAAGTGTTGGTAGAGATTTGAACGGAGAACACTTCCCACGACTCACTGAGAGAGTCATCCAAAATATCTATCTCTACACAACCTTCCAACGTCATATTGATCGAGGGCTCAAATGTCAGAGTCTTATTCAGTGGAATGTAGTCACTAAAAGCTGTATAAAGGACAGGAAGAGTTTTGTCATGGAAGTTGCCTTTTAATGTCTATGGTAATTTGCCTGACCCCTATAATAGCGTACAGCATATTGACGTACAAATAACTTGTTAGCATTTTTCTTTCGTTCTTTCGTGAAAGCATTTCACCTGTAGCTGATGTAAATGTTCCATGAGTGGTGGACGTAGTGGTCAAGGCAATGTGGACCGTTTGACTCAGAGTCTCAGCTCCTACCACCTCCAGACACACCCAAACACTCTGTTGGTTTTCCTCGGCAGTCAAGTGATAGGGAAAGTATTCGTTATGAGCCAAACCTGTCACATACACTGGAGGAGCTGTAGGGGGGAAAAGGCAACATAGAGAAGTGGCCTCTATGCTATATATAGTCATCTTTTGCCTTATCTTCATGTATGAAAACAAACACTGTACATTGTTGGTTTCATATATCTTTCAGTTATGGTACATGATACGGCTATTTGACATACCATTGGAGCATTGAGTTACAACAGCCACGAAGCGGCACTCGGCCTCAAATGACACTGGTCCTATATCACACTCGGCCAGGGAGTTCTCAGTTCCATTACACTCTATGTGCCCGTATGCCCCTCGAAATGATTCAACTAGAACATACCCTGACCACGAGAAAAAATTACTATGAAATGCACACACGAACCGATGCACATGGGTAGTAAGGCTACAAACTTACTTCCTAAACCAAAGCTGAAGCCTTCTTCTCTGCATGCCACAGTAGCCTCTTCACTACCCCACCCACTCCCGTTGCAGAATGGTCGATAGTAAGTGTGTCCATCACACGGAGAGCTGTTGTAGCTTACGTACCACACATCAATGCTTTCCCACCAAGTCAGTAAAAGCCCACTTGTTCCACAAGTGTTGGATTGTGCTGTAGAAAGACATAAAATAAAGTATGGTTACTGCTAATATCCTTACAGTAAGTATACGATGTAGCAGGGGGAATTACACGTACCAAGGGCAGTAGACACGTACAGAATCAAAAGCAGCCACATCTCGGAACGACGTCTGCGTGCTGCGTGCACTACCAATTGCTGCAGCGACGCGTGCGCACGAGGCATAAGTCGATCACCGAGTTGGCAGGAGCCCCTTTCGAATTTAGGTGGAACACGATGCGACAGGAAATATTACTATGTAAACCCAGACGAGAAGACGTACTGTAGTTATTCCTCCCACACACCGTTAGCTATACGCATTGGGCTGAAATATAATTGTCTGCAGAGGCAGTGGTGGTGGTAGCTAAACCATATCTATGTGCCACTGCCATTGTAAGCACCGAGCTGCCTTTGACACATTAGCCTTGGTGGTCAGAGCAGTGTAGCCAACACAGCTATTGTCCTCAAAGACATGCCTTCCATCCCTTATGAATTGGGTTGACGATTACGTCTCTTCCTGCCAACAACTAATCCAATACTGGCCAATTTTGGCTGCATGTGCACATGAGGCACTACCTTCATGGGCACTGGATGAGTCTAGGTCCTATCTATAGCCTAAGCAGTGCTTGGCCAGCTGGTGAATGGTAAGGACTCTCAGTTGCCAATATGGGCAGACCAATTTAGATGTATATACCCATGCAACCTTTATGTTTATGTGAATTATACAGCTAGCATCATTAGCAAAGCCTAGCTGTCTCCCTACATGCCTACTCTCTCTTTGTGTCACGACTTTGACAAACGGCCCCACAATGCTCATCTGTTGGGCTCAATACATGTGTACACGTGTTTACAAACACTCAAAAAGGTAGCTACACAATATTTTGTGACTTCTCTCAAAGGTTGCGGTGTGTGTTGCGGTGGACATGCCAATGTAAAATCTATGCTCTGGACATTGTTTTTTGTTTGAGAGGAATCTTCTAAGGGTACTAAGAAGAATTGGTATTGGCAAAATAAATAATGTGGTTAAACGGCGTAGTCGTAATTGTGTCCGTCATCAATGTTCAGAGTTTCTGTTGCACTGCAAGGCGGGAAGACTTGGCCGGGCATGGCATAGTTAGGGCCCTCGAGGACAGCATAGTTTGGGGCCTCCAGAACAGCATACAGTCTTGCGTCGGTCGCATCTGAATTGGTATCATAGAGAGGGTTAACCACACTGTGCTCAGTTATCTCGGCACCCTGAGAGTTGTTTGGGGACTCCATACTCGCATCGTAGACTGGGTTATCAAGATGTTTCTCCCCTCCACCTCCTCCTCTTTCTCCCACACCCTCTCCTTTGTTCTGGTTAGTGGAATCACTCACTTGTGCACCGGCTGCTGCTCGTCTCCTCCTTCTCTTCACGTACACCAAGAGGAAAACCGTTACGGATACGAGGAAAAGAACCACAACTACCGATGTGGTCATCGCTGAGAAAACTACAACTGACAGTGTGTGACTTTGCCCTGCTGTTGGACGAACTTCTGGAGGTACTGACGTCTTTTCTTCTATGATGTCTACGGTCGAATTGCTCCCGCTACCACTGGACAACACATCTCTGTCACTGCCGCTGTTTTTGCTGCCATCGTCAGCTCCACCACCACCACTCACAGCACCAGTTTTATCTCCAGTAGGGTCTTTGTTGTCTCCACTGTCGTTGTCTCCCCCTTCCCCAAAGTCACCACCCTCCCCGGAGTCACTATCTTCCCCTTTGTCCCTACCATCACCAACACCTATCACACTCGTCTCATTACTATTGATGCCATCACTGGTACTATCAATGCCCTCGTCACTATTATCTCCATTAGGATCATCATTTGTCTTCTCGTTATTCTGACAGTTTACTAATAGAAAGTGGCAGGTGGCCTCTTCAACAGTCAGTGAACGACATGAAACAATTGAGGCCTCATTTCCAGTGCACTCTAAGATTGTTGTGGTAGAGTATTCTCTGTGTAATGTACTGAACTCGTGCCCACCTTCATCTGCAAATATGAGTGCAAGCAAACTATATAGTCACTCATTTGGCCAAATGTGTTGTTTTGACCTGGATAGCCAAGCTCTCTGCAGATGACAGCCACGTCCTGTGGAGTCCATTCACTGTCACAGAGTGGAGACCAGATCCTCTTACTTCCGTCACATGTCTCCACCAACTGAAGACTGCTATTGTCGGCATCTCTCACCGCTGTCACACTGCCTTCTGTGCAAGAGCCTGTAATGCATCAAAAACATATTGCGTCTTGTAGCTAGCCGTGCGTATCAACACTGACCATCATCTGGGCGAACATAGACGTTGAATTCTCGTCGAGTGAGGTTAACAGTAGAGCTGTTAGTGGAGATTGTAACAGAGAAAATCTCCCAGAACTCAGCCAGAGAGTCATCAATAAGCTCTATCTTCAGACACTGCTGTGATCTCAAGGACTCAGTCGGCTCAAATGTAACGGTTTGTCGCAGCGGACGATAGTCAAAGTTAGCTGCAGGCAAACAAAGCAGCACATCAACGGATTGTACAACACCTCCCATTATGTTCCACTCACCTACTGCATACCCATGGTTAGTAGTCTCAACCAGTACACGTAACATCTCTGAGATGGGTCCCCACACAATCAAACAAAACTGAACAGTTTCTCCCTCTGATACCTCCACATAATCAAACGGTTCATAGTCCTCTGTTTGCGACACATATATCTGTGAAACTAAAGGGTGTAGCTATAGCAATTACACGCCCCCTGCCTCCACCCTCCCTCCTTGGTTATATACCATTGAGGCACTGCCTGATGATGCCAGCTTGAGAGCACTGAGTCTTTGTTGTGGTTGCTGCTACTGCACACTCCTCCAGTGCCCCCTCACTCCCTGAGCAATTCACGTACTGGAGGCCAACCTCCATTGGGTCAATGTGTACATAGCCTGTAGACACCAGGGGAATTGGCATCGGTAATGTTGGAGTCATGAGAATAGAATGCAATATCCCAGACAAAAACAGTAACAAGAACAGAGTAGGAGCCAGAAATGTTGGCTTGATTAAGCCATTTATCCCGAGTAAGGGACTAATCAATTTAGGCATATAGCTTTCTATCTATACCTCCAATGCCGTAGTGTGAATGCAACTGGTCTCTACAAACAACTGTTGCCTCCTCGTCTCCCCACCCGCTGTCTTCACAGAAAACGTGACTCTGGAGGTGGTCAAAGTCGGTATCACACTCCCGGCTGTTGAATCGCACCACATGACCATCTGGCACCAGTGGGAAGGTCTGGGTATGCCGACAGTGACCATCTCCTGCTATATAGTGGATGGAAGGGTGTGATCACAAAGTTCAGTGTGCAGCTATATTAAGTTACACATTAACCACCCAATCCCCCCAGGGATGTTATAGTTGCATGCTTTAGCTACATGAAGGATTTATTTGTACAGAACAATGCTGAGTTGCAACTACATATGTAGCTCTTGCATGCACTACGATCTACCAGTCAAATAAGAATTTTCCTATGCCGTGTGTATCCACATGAGAATGCTAAGGGAACAATTAAAAGGTGAGTGTGTGAGTCTTTTTATAGACCTTCAAGGCAGACTGTCGATCACAATAATATATACAAAATGGTCCGTCAGTCGAAACGTACCGTAGGCTCCACGAGATCCAACCATAAGCGACAGTACAATAATGAACATCATTCTCTAGAGTATTTCAGCAACCGCTACTCTCGATCTCTCTTCTCTGTTGTCAAACTGTAACTGCAGTAGACATTCTGCGAATTTAGCAGCTCTGTCGTCGGATAGGAGGTGGAGCACCGGATTTTGCGCGTATTTTGCGCATGCGTGAGCGCACGATCAACCGCGCGCGCGCGGCAAGGCACCCCCCACTGCACTTCCGGTCCCGAAAGAGAGCCCACGACCATAACCAGCTGTCATTTCGCACATCAAAGTGCATAGTAAACACAGTATATTCCAAACCCCACAACATGGCTTCACAAAGGGGAAATGGTCAGTGTAAATAGACAGCTTACTCTCTTCCACTTACTCATACAAGACTATAATTCTTACTACACTCCATCACAACAAACAAATGTCTCATACATTTTCAGCATATGCATAGGCAGGTTCGGGATTGTTTAATTCACTAGAAGACTGAGTACCCGTATCCTTCCTCTCTGGCACTGCATACTCTGGATCATCACCTGCATAGATATCAATGGTGCTGCGCTGAGGCTTCTCAACCTCTGCCAGAGAGTAGAGTGGGTTCGCAAAGTCGTGCTGCTCGGGATCTTTATCCGTTTGAGGCTGCGGAGCTTTCTGGTCGTTTCCGAAACTGTACACAGGGTTATCGAGATGTTTCTCCCCATCTTGGAGCATGTCGTGTGACTCGTAGTTCTGGTTAATATTGACCTGTTTGGTGTTCACCGCCATTTGCTTGGTCTTCCATCTGAAGCAGATGATTACCACAACTACCGCCGCTATCAAGACCAGGACAAGGAAGAGAGTGACTACAACCCCTGATACTATACCTCCAGTACTGCCAGTACCCGACTTATTCTTTCTTTCAGTTATAACATTGTTGTCATTCCTGGTGTCTTCAGTGTCTGTTTCCCTGTCAACATCATCGTCATCATTGGGGTCATCACTAGTGTCAACCTCGGGATCTGTGACGTCAGGACTGCAGTCT